GATATAAAATACTAAAAAGCCATTTTGGGAAAGAGCTAAGAGTCTAACAGTCACCACACTTGAAATGAGGCCAGCGCCATTCAGCTCTGTGGTAGGGAGGAAAGACACACTTGATTGAGTAAAGGGTGTTGCTTTTGCTCACTTGGGGACTTGAATTGGTAATTAGAAGTTAGGCCAAATGCGGGTTTCTAGTTCATGTGCCAATAGAGTCTTGAGGTTTCTTTTCTCCCCTCTTTCTTGTCTTCTTACCAAGTCCAACACAGGCTGTGGTTCATTGTGCACTGAGTAAGCAAGGATGTACTAACTCAAGTAGCATCACCAGGCCAGTCCCAGCTTCCATTAGTGGTTTTCTCTCAGGGACCCGGAGGGCTTCAGGGACCATCATTTTATAATTAAATCAGGGAGTATTCATTTGATTGAGAATTGTTTGTTTTTCAATTAATTTGCTGCGTTGTACAGATGGAGAGAATGTCGTAAGTGCTATTGTTTGCTATGGCAGGCGAGAGGGACCAAACCAGCGGTGTGTGCAGTACTGCATACAGGCCTTGCCGCATCCTCTTCCCAGAAAACAAGAGCAGCAGATAGAAGCGAGACATCCCAGCAGCAGGCGTTGGGTTCCCAGAGGCTGGGCGTCTGACGCTAGCACCTTCCTCTCAGTGCTTTGGTGACTGGGGATCCCAGCACTTCCCCTGGCATGGGCCTGCACAGAGCAGGAAACTAGACCGTGAGCTCAAACTACTTGGCACAGTACCTGCCGAGGCACAAGCACTTCATAAACAGAGGCCATTACTTACTGGAAATGCAGCTGTAAACGCCCCAGCAGGTACTGAGAGGAGGTTCATTACCTCAAAAGACCCATGTTCCTCCCCTGTCTCCTGGGTCCACATAGCACCCTGGGTGTCAGGGGAGAAGCGGTATCACTCCAAACCACAGTAAGATTGTGAACCTGTTTGCCGTGGCAACCCATCAGCTGAACCCAAAGGCAGACATTCTATCATTAAAGGGGTTTTTGTTTAAACAAAAATTATTTTAGAAGTCTTTATTATAAATAAACACTCATGGAAGCATCAGTCAGGAATTCAAAGGACGTATTGCATTAGGCAAATCTGCTGCACAAGACTGCTTTAAAGTGTTAAAGAGCAAAGATGTCAGCTTGAGGACTAAGGTGTGCCTGACCTAATCCATGGTATTTTCAATAACCTCATTTGCATGTGTAAGTTGGACAGGGTATAAGGAAGACCATAGAAGAATTGATACATTTGAGTAAATGGTTTTGGAATACTAAAAATACTATGGATTGCCAGGAGAACAAACAAATCTGTGTTGGAAGAAGTACAGCCAAGAGTGCTCCTTAGAAGTCAGGATGGCCAGACTTCATCGCTCATGCTTTGAACCCTTTATCAGAAGGGGACAGTCCCTGGAGGATGTCAGGCTTGGTAAAGTGGAGGGTTAGCGAAAAAGAGAAAGACCCCCAACGAGCTGAATTGGCACAGTGGCAGCAACAGTTGGCCCAAGCGTAGCGACAATTGTGAGACTGGTGCAGGGCTGGCCAGTGTTTTGTTCTGTTGTGCATAAAGTCCCTGTGAGTTGGTACCGACTGATGGCACCTGACAACAACAACAATTGTGAATTGAGTGACTGTTTACCGAGCAAATCAGTGTTCCACTCAAACAACTCGTGCACATCTGCTTTTATGTTAGTGATTACAATCCTCACAGTGTAGCCTCCCTCATGCCACTTCTGCCTTGGGTTTCCTCCTCCTTTCCTGCCCCGTCCTGTCTCCTGAGCTTTCTCCCTGGAAAAACGCTGCCCTTCTGATCGCATACGATTGTTCCTTCTAAGGCATGCCCCTGCCTACCGTTTGATGGAAGATTGAGCCATGGGAATGGGTTCACTTGTAATACTACAGGCTGAGTGAGGAGCACAGTGTCGGGCTTCTCCCAGGCCGAATCAAACCAGGAAGGCTGGGCTTTTTTAGGATTTTGAGTTTTGTTCTAGATTTTCCTCCCACCCTACCAAAGGTTTTCTCCCTTAAACTAAACACTGAACTTTATGAAGTAATGTGATTTCAGCTAAGGAAATGTATTCTTAGCAGATAAAGGGCAAAACAATAGGCTCTGGAGACCAGCAAGGCCCAGATGGCATAGACAGTCTATTTGAGAATGTGAGAACTTGACCTGGACTGTCGCTTTCCCACCGTGGTAAGGCCTGCCCTCGAGCTGCAGGCCGTAAGCATGACTGTCAGTCATTGGGAACTTGCTCCACCACCGAGCCTACATCACAACACCGAGGAGTCCCCTAGATTAAAAGTGTGTCATGGCAGGTTTTGATCATTGTTCACCATGGCCATAGGAAAATGTAGAAAGGTCCAGAAACTTGTAGTTGTAAGCAACATATCTATCTGTAAAGGACGACTTTGCTGTACAATGTGTTCCTGCAGAGAAGAATGAACCCCTGAACTGTATGGGGTTATTGACGCCGGCACTTTCAGTATCTAGTGATGCTTAGCAAGTGCGGTGATCTTTATCTGGGGAGTTTTGCCCCGAGGTGGAGGGAGCATCTGTCTTGGTTCATGATGAGGAGGTCACACATGTGTCCTTGGAAGCACTTTACCAGTCCCTTTGTGGAGGCCCCTTGGGCGGTCCTTTACAAAGGAATCCATCTCATCAGTACACTTTTTATTTTGAAGTATAGGGAGAGGAAGGACTGAGACACCCCCCCACCCTTGCAAGCTTTATACTCTGTTTTGAACATAAGGATCTCTTCTTGACTTGATGAAGATCGTCTAGTTCAGCTCCGTAGACATCAACATCCTTAATGATGAGCTACTAAGATGATCTCGTTAAGACCAGGTGCAGAGATGGCCACTGTCAATGGTGAGGGAGCATCAGTTGCATTGTTCTGGAAGGTTCTGTCACTGCTAGGAGACCTAGGCTAGACACGAGGAAAGCACAAGACAGAACCACCAGTAGTCTCGGACATTCTGATTGGACGAGGGGGCTTCAAAAAAGCTCCTGGAAAAATGGAACTCTAAGATAATGGCGTTTTCCCACAACTTTCTGAAGCCCCTATATACTTACAAAACTGAGGAGGGTCTCCAGAAAGCAATGGCAGTTAATTAAAAATTGAGTAAAGTGACTAACCATTCTTTTTATGTATTGTGCTTATCAATAAGAAAATATTAAGGGGGAAATACACAGTCGCTATGAGTCAGGACCAACTTGACCGCATTTTCCCAGATGCCCGAGGAGCCTCGGTGGTGCAGTGGGTTAAGTGCTTGGTTGCTAGTTGAGAAGTAGGCGGTTCGGACCCACCAGCTGCTCTGTGGAGAGAGCGATGAGGCTGTCAGCTTCCAAAAAGATTTATAGCAATGGATATGCTCATAAGAAACCCACGACTTCCTCGTGAAGAAAACAGAACTGGTACTGAGAAAACTGAGATGGAATCAATAGAAACATAAGGCGTCCCTGCATAGATAAATAGGATGGTGTACACATGTTCCTGCTTATCAAATGTAATTTACAGGCTTAATATCATTTTAATCAGATTTCTAATAGATTAAAAAACAAGAGTAACTCATTAATTTGGAAAAACAAATGGATGAATATATAAATATAGCCAAGTAAGAAATGTTAAAACAATGGTAGGGGAGCAGAGCCCCCCAACTCTCCTGGGCAGTGTGGCGCTGGTGTGAGGCTTGGTGGGCTTGCTGCCCCACAGAGGGTCTGGTGCATGGGAGAATGAGCGTGTGCTGGAGGAGAGGGGCACACCGGGCTAGTTTCTGAGCGAAAGTGAGGTGGGTGACAGGGCTGCATGGTAACAACAGCGTAAACACCTGTATTCGCTTGCTCAGCAGCACGTGCCTGTGGTGTGGGCAAGGCTCAGCCAGGAGAATCGGTGGTGGGTGAGGGGTGCCCGGGGTGGTCAGGTGAAGGTGAGGAAGGAGATTCGAAGACAAGAGGCTGGCAGAGGCCATGCTGTATTTGAAGGCCTGGGGCCAGGAGGGACTTGGGGGTGAGAGAGATGTGATGGAGAGGGAGGAAACTCGAGCTTTTGACTGGAATCCAGGTTTTAGTGGCCTGCTAAGCAATCACACTTCAATTTGGAAGATTTGGGGAATGGTTGAAACAGGGGAGTGGCGAGTTGGAGATAGTCCAGGCGGAGGTGACAGGGCTTGGCCCAGGGAGCGGGTGCTGTAGGCAGGTTCAGGGGATGTTCAGGAAGTAAGGGCCACTTAGTGAGGTGGGAGGAGGAGAGGAGTAGCCGCTAGTTACCCTCTCAGGGTGCCCCATTAGAAGTCTGTCTCCCCCAGTGCCCAGGGGTCCCTGTTTCTGTACTTACTGATGTCTCCCCAGTACTTGAATAGTCACTGGCACATAGTAGGCACCCAGTGAATGTTTGTACAACAGGTGCAGCCTGAGGGTGACTTCCAGGTGGGGCTGGTGGACACAGAGGGTAGCAGAGATGTGGGTGCACCAGGAAGCAGGAGACTAATCAGATGTCAGACACCAGACTTGCCACAAATACCGCGAACATGAAAATGAATCAGAAGAACCATGCATGCCGGTAATTAAATGGCAATAAACACGAACAGACATGAAAGATGAAAGAAACATTGGCCGGTATCTGGGGGGAAAAGAGTGGCCTCACTAAAGAATGCGAACGGATTCAAGATGACAGTTCCCTGACTCCCAATGATTCTTCCTAACGAGGACCTCGTTAGGCTGGCGAGACTGGGCATGTGGGCCACTTGTACTGAAGGCATCTGACAGGGAGTCTCAGGCCTCTGAGGTGTTTGCATCATTTGATGGAATAATTGTATCTGGAAACGTATCACAAAATCCTCTCCTGCCATGCGTCCTGTCCAACTGCCACCACCGAGAGGGACGTACTTCCGGAAAGAAAGGCTGGGGGCAGAGGGGCTGGTGGGTTCTGGGAAAGAGCCCTAACTGAGCTTCCCTGCTGAACTCTCTGTCTGTCTTTCTCTGTGATGTCCTCAGATGAAGACCGTCAGTGTTGCCTTAGTGCTCTGCCTCAACGTGGGCGTGGACCCTCCAGATGTGGTGAAGACTACCCCCTGTGCCCGCTTAGAATGCTGGATCGGTAAGTGTGAAGTCCTCCCTAGCAGCCCACCTCCCCTGTCCTCCAGGCCCGGTGTAGACCTGCCCCTGGACCATGTCAACCTGAGCCTCTTGTTTCTCTGTGGAGTTGTATAACCTTCAGAATCCCCTGGTGTGGTGCTCGAGGGTCAGCACTGGACTGCTAACCACAGGGTTGACAGTTCAAATCCACCAGCTGCTCCTCAGAAAGCCTATACTGGGTCGCTGTGAGTCGGAATGACTCCACAGCATTTAACAACAACATTAACGTACCCTTCAGGGCATCTTAGGGTCATTCAGCTATAATCCCTGGTAGAAAAATGTTTCAGGGAAAGTCAATAAAATGATTGGATCTTGTCATTTTCTCCTGAAAATGTGCCTTGCAACTGGCACAAGATAGTAATTACCTCCCTTTTAGGGAACTGCCCAGGTGAGGTTGTGTGAAAGGGTGGAAGAGGCCTTCAGGCCAGAACTGCATGCCTGTGGTTACGGCTTGGCCGTCTAACCATAGTTATACACTGATGGGAGAATGAGGTGGAAACGCTGAGACAGACCTCAGTGTAATCAGCACTGCTGAGCTGTCCAGCAGAGATGGTTGTATCGGGGTCTTCAACAACAACAAAAATAAAATAAAAGATTACGAACAATTGAACAGGTGAATGAGTAAGCAAAATGGGACATATATGTATGTGAGTGTATATGCATGTTGTTGTTAGGTGCCATCGAGTCGGTACCGACTCATAGCAACACTGTGCACAACAGAGCAAAACACTCCCCAGTCCTGTGCCAACGTCACAGTTGTTTCCACGCTTGAGCCCATTGATGCTGCCACTTTGCCAATCCATCTCACTGGGCTCTTCCTCTTTTTGTCTGATGCATAGCTGTACCTATATATCTTGTTATTGTTATGAAGTGCTGTCGAGTTGGTTCTGACTCATGAAGACCCTGTGTAAGGTGTCCAAGGAGTGGCTGGTGGGTTTGAACTGCCAACCTTGCAGTTAGAAGTCCAGTGCTTATCGTCCGGCACCACACCAGGGCTCTATGCCTATCTGTCTTTCTCTATGGACATCTCAGGAGCTCTGGTAGCACAGTGGGCTGTGAGGTGGGCTGCTAACTGAAAAGCCAGCCGTTTGAATCTACCATCCGCTACGTGGGAGAAACAGAAAGAGAGGCTTTCTGTTCCTGCAAAGATTTACAGCCTGGGAAACGCCTGGCAGGGTCGCTGTGGGTCAGAGCCAAGTCCACGGCCCATAACCGCCACATCTCTAGCTTCGGCTTTAGCTCTATGAATGTGATGCAGCCACCAAGACAAACAGAGTCTGGAGGCCATAGCATGAACGAGCCTGGAAAACAGGGTGCTGAGTGACAAGTCAGTCACAAACACACAGGCCTGAGGCACTTAGTGCTCCCCTGGGTGCCTGGAGGGGTGGTGGCTCCTCGTGGGGAGAACTAGTGGTCGTGAAGTTGGGGGAACACAAGGGCAGTAACTGCACAGCGTGAAGAGTGTGATCTATACTGCTGACCTGCATGTTTAAATGTGACTCAGCGGGCAAATGCTATGTTAGGTGTGTTTACATACATGCGTGTATACACATATACACACACACTCACATACACCTATACACCTAGATACACATACACACCCACACACATACCTATACTCACACATTCACACCCCTATACACACTCACATACACACATATACACACACGTAAAAAAGAAAGCGGAAACCCAATTGACTGACACACAAGCCTATCGACAGCCCTTTTTGAGCAAAGCCTCCTGGGAGACAGCTGGTCCTCACGCTCATAGTGTTTATTTAGTGCCTGCGGTGTGTTGCCCATCTCCCAACCCGTGTCGTCCTCCCAGCAGCTCCACGTGGTGGTTTATCATTGATCCCCACTGAGGAGACAGAGGCTGAGCCATTTACCCGAGGTGGTCACACTAGTGAGTGGCAGAGGCAGGGTCTGAACTGCTGTACTCTTGTCGTCATCTTGCTCTTGGACTCAGGTTTAGTGAGGTACACTGGATGAGCTTGGACAAGTACAGTCTGGTGACAGATACCACAAGCAAGGTATACGATGGCTCCACCACACCAAGAACGTCCCTGTGGGTCATTCTAATCAGTCCCCTCCCTTGGCCCTGGTCCCTGGCAACCCCTAACCTGCTTTTTGTGCCTGTGGTTTTCCCTTTTACACAGCGTCATATGAAAGGAAGCCTGTGTTGTGTCTTTCCCTTGGTGGTTATGTGCCGTGGAGTCAGTTCTAACTCATAGCGACCCTGTACAGGGTTTCCGAGGCTGTAAATCTTTACGGGAGCAGAAAGCTTCATCTTTCTCCCGCAGAACAGCTGGTAGTTTCGAACTGCTGACCTTGAGATTAGCAGCTGGCTCGTAATCTCTGTGCTACCAGAGCTCCTCTCTTTCCCTTGGTGTAACGCATTTAGATTCATCCATGCTGTCATACTTGGCTGTGTTTGTTTCTTACATTCCAGTGTAGTGAAGAAGGTCAAAGACTATGAGGGCTTCAATATGGAGTACACTTCAACATAAATAAGAAAGCAAAAATCCTTACAAATGTACCAAGAAGCAACATCATGACAACTGCAGAAAAGCTCGACGTTGTGAAGGATTTCCTGTGACTTAGATCCACCATCAATGCCCATGGAAGCAACAGTCAAGAAATCAAATGACGTATTGCATTGGGCAAATCTGCTGCACAAGACCACTTAAAAGTGTTGAAGAGCCAAGAGTCACTTTGAGGACTAAGGTGTGCCTGACCCGAGCTGTGACATTTTCAGTTGCTTCATATGCAAGTGAAAGCGGGACTGTGAGTAAGGGAGACTGGAGAAGAGCTGACGCCTCTGAATGATGGTGTTGGTGAAGACTCTTCAGTGTACCCTGGACTACCAGAGGAATGAGCAGATCTGCCCTAGAAAAAGGACACCCAGAATGCGCCGTAGAAGCAAAATTGTGAGGCTTTGTCTCTCAGACCTTGGACATATTATCAGGAGGGTCCAGGCCCTGAGGAAGGACATCATGCTTGGTAAAGTGGAGGGTCAGAGAAAAAGAGGAAGACCCCCTATGAGATGGGTTGACACAGTGGCCGCAGCAGTGGGCTCACAGATAGCAGTGAGTGTGAGGCTGGTGCCAGCCTGGGCAGTGTTTGGCTCTGTTGTACGTGGGGTCGCTATGAGAGGGAACCAACCAGAGGGCACCTGACAGTTGGTAGGGGTTTGGGCTGTTTCCAGTTTTTGATGATTATGACTAAAATGGCTCTAAGCACTGGGCTTTTGCCTGAACATCTTTTCTGTTGGGTGAATATTTCGGAGGGGGCCCTAGGCTGTATGTTAACAGTATGTTAAGCCTTTGACCAACTGTCCTGCTCTTTGCCATGGTGCCTGTCATTCTGCAATCTCCCCAGCAGTGTCTGAGAGCCCAGCTCCTCTGCCACCTCACTAGCACTTGGTACTGTCTGGTTTTAAAGTTGGAGCCATTCTCATTAGGTCTGATTTTTGCATTTTCCCAATGACCAGTGGAAGGGAGCCCTGGTAGTTTCCTAGTGAGCTGCGAACCGCAAGGTCAGCAGTTCCAACCCACCAGCTGCTCTGCTGGAGAAAGATTGAGAGCCGTGGAAACCCTTTACAGGCTCACTATGAGTCGGAGCCGACCTGACAGCACGCAGCAATGACTAATGGAGCAGCCCTGGTGTGGTGCTGTAGGGTAGACACTGGACTGCTGGCCACAAGATCAGCAGGTGAAACCCATCAACTGCTCCTTGACAACCCTATACAGTGTCGCTATGTGTTGGAACCGACTCAGCAGCACCTTACAACAGCAACTAATGGACAGGAGCCCTGGTGGCACAGTGGGCGAAGCACTTGACTGCTAACCATAGGGTTGACGGTTTGAATCCACTAGCTTCTCCACAGGAGAAAAATGAGGCAGTCTGTTTCCATAAAGATTTACAGACGTGACAACCCTGTGGGACAGTTCGACCTTACCTTGTCGGGTCACTCGGTACAGGGTCAGGGAACGTACTCAATGGCAGGGGCTTGGTTTTGGTAACTGACCACTGGAGGACATGCTCAGCTCATTGAAAGGTAAGCAGTTGGAACCCACCGGTGAGCGATGCCCAGTGATGTGCTCCTCTAAAGATCAGCGCCTTAGCAACCCCCAGGGCGGTTCTACCCTGTCCTGTAGGGTTGTTGTAAGTCAGAACCGACTGGAAGGCCCGCACACCACTGGCCAACAATGTGTACATTTGCCACCTGCACCTCGTGTTTGACGAAGTATCTACTCAAATTGTATACGCACTTTTCAAGAAGATGAGCCGTTTGCTTCAGTGAATCAGTTTCAAAAGCACTGGACACTCTGGAAGCAAGTCCTTCTTCAGACGCGTCCTTTGTAAATGTATTCTGCTCTTGGCTTGATTTCTCGTTCTCTGAGCAGTCCTTTTCAAAGAGCAAGAGATTGTTAATTGTGAGCAAGAGTCCAATTTATCAAGTTCTTTAATGATTTATGCTTTTTTGTGTTTTATCTAAGAGCTTTTTGCTTAACCTGAGATCACAACAATTTTCTCCTGTGTATATTTCCTTTTATGATGAATAGTTTTAGGTTTAATACTGAAGTCAGTGGCTTACTGTGTGCTCATTTTTATACAGTGCAACCTTTGAGAGCCGGAAGTGGGCAGATCTACCTGGTTTTTCTAGGTCTCACAAGTTTTCTGTCTTTGCCGAGGTCTGGCCATACCCCTTTCCTAACATTCTCTATTAGTAAAAAAGATTAGCCTTTTCTTTCTCGTGCAGGTTTCTGCCCTCCACTGGCTCTGGTGCGTGCAGATTTTACTGTTGATGACATGCGTGTGTACTGAGGTTCGTTTTTATGTACAGGATGTGTAGTTTCTGTGCCATTGAGTGATTTTGCATCTTTGCTCTTCGCCGGGCCAGAGTAACTCCTTGGCCTAGCCTCATGCAGAGGATGCTCCGTTGTGAATTCCATTCGTT